AATGTCACTACATCCACAAGAACAAAAATCATGCTACATAGAGTAATCCCACTAGCATAACATCCATCAAACATAGTTTATCAAGTACAATAATTATCAACAAAGAGAGTCATAATTAAATATTACACTAAACTACAACTCATAGATTCATCATGACATAGATTTAAATTCATATAACATTACCAAAGCATATCAAGCTCCAGCCTCCGATGTGCCACCACCATTATGTCGTTCACAATAATCCACCAACATATCCATAGTAAATTGATTCCTACAAATCTTACATTCATTTCTTGACTATGTCCACTCTCTTTGAGGTCATGGTTTGTGATAAGTCCACAACATCATCATTATCCTCATTAATCACATCACCTTCATCATCTTTAATGTCAACATCTACATTCAAAAGTCATCATCTAGATCTATTACTACTATGGAGTTGTGTAAGATAATGCAAGTGAAGAAATGGCGAAAGAAGCCCAGGAGAAAGGCCAGACAGACTGGTGGTCGACCACGAGTCAGTGGTGGTCAATCGTTTCGGTCGACCGCGCCAACCCTGTAGGTGATTTTGCTCTCGGATTGTTGGTTCAGTCGACCGTGGTAGTCGAACGCGATACATGCGCGGTCAACCGCCACGGTCGACCGCAGATCAGTTTTGGGCTAGGCTTTGGTTTTTCAACCCGTTTTGTTTTGAGTTGGTATATAACCCTAAACCTGATTAATTAGGGTTAAGTAAGGACGTTTTTGAACCCGTTTTGTTTTGAGTTGGTATATAACCCTAAACCTGATTAATTAGGGTTAAGTAAGGACGTTTTTGAACAGTCTTTGGGAGAGGATTGCTGCATCCAATTATGGGAGATTTGTGAGAGATCTAAAGCTTTGTTTTAGGGTTTGATCGGTGAGATTTGTAACCCTATTTATATTCTCTTGATTTCTAATAGTAAGAACTCCCCCCCTCCTTGCCCCGTGGATGTAGGCAACTTGCCGAACCACGTTAAACTCGTTGTCTTGCTGTGGTATTATGTTTATTTTATTAGTTATGATTTATCTCTTGTTCTTGTTCGTATCACTTTGAGGCTTTCGTCACACACAACAATTGGTATCAGAGCTTCAGGCTTGTTCGAATGATTCAGTGAAGAATTCCTATATGAAGAGTTAGATCGACAATATGGGAGAAGAAAGCACATCAGGTTCGTCTCTTACAAAGGCGATACAGATTCTGAGCATCAATAGCATGAAGATTGATGTTCTGAAGTTCGACGACAAGATTAATTTTGGATTGCGGAGGTGTCAGGTGATAGACGCCTTGGATGTACAGAATTTGGAGGAGACTCTTGAGTTACAAGAGAAACCCGAAGACATGGAGGATAATGTTTGGAAGAAGATGAATAGTAGGGCTTATGGAGTTATTCAGTGATGCTTGACGCCAGATCTTATTTATGATGTTATGAATGAGACATCAGCGAAGAGAATGTGGGAAACACTCAATGAGAAGTATCTTACTAAGAGCATTGAGAATAGGCTTCACTTGAAGAAGAGCTTTTACCAGTTCAAAATAAAGAGGAGAGTTTCTATCAGGGAGCATGTCAACAATTTTACGAAGCTACTTTCAGATATGGCCAATGTGGATATCATGGTTGAGGATGAAGACAAGGCGATGTTACTTTTGCGTTAGTTGTCGGAAGATGATTATGGTACGTTCATTCTAACTATAATCAATGGAAGAACTACTGTTAGCTATAACGAGGTGACCTTAGCTTTGGTGAATTATGAGTTGAGGAAGAGTGATGGTGAACCCTCCGAAAAGGCATCGGGAGATGCATTAGCTGTTCGAGGCCGAGATCCAAACCACCGCCAGTTCAACCGCTTAAAGTCAAAGAATAGGAGCCTATAAGAGTGTTGGTAGAAATCAATGTCGGTATTGTAAAGAAGAAGGACATTGGAAGATGACTACCCAAAGTGGAGGGAAAAAGCTAGGAAGAATAAGGGGAAAGCTGTACAAGCTTCAGAAATGAATGTTGCAAAAGCTATTGATGGGCATTCAGATTTAGATTCTTCGGGCTATTCTTATCCTGCACTACCGTTGGTTTGCTATGCTGATTCCACGGAGTGGATGATGGATTCGGGAGCTACATATCATATTTGCTCTAGGAGGGATTGGTTCTTCAGCTTTAAGGAGTTGGAAAGAGGGGATGTCGTGCTTATGGGTAATGACCACATATGTCCTATTGGTGGTATTGGTTCAGTCCGGATTAGGATACATGATGGAGTGATTAGGGAGTTAAAGGAAGTGAGATTCGTGCCGCAGATGACGAAGAATATCATTTCTCTTAGGACTTTGGAGGTAGCTGGATATAGAGTGATCTTAGAGGATGCTACAGTTAAGGCCATGAAGGGTTCTATAGTGGTGATACGAGGTGTCAGGGAAAACAATCTATACTATTTGAAGGGTAAGATAATTACAAGGGGTCTGGCAGCTTCTATCACTACAGAGGAGGACACTATCACTTTATGGCATATGAGACTTGGACACACAGGTGATAAGTCCCAACAGTCATTACAAAACATAAGCTATTGAAAGGTGCCAAGACCTGCAAGATAGAGCTGTGTGAGCATTGTGTACTTGAGAAGAAGACTAGAGTGAAGTTTGACACCGCTATTCACAACACCCGAGGTACATTAGATTACATTCACATAGATGTTTGGGGTCATTCCAAGAACACATCTCTTAATGGGGTCAATTATTTTATCACTTTCATTGATGATTATTCCAGGAGGAATTGGGTATACCCTATGAAGCATAAACATCAGGTCCTTGATATTTTTGTGGAGTGGAAAAGGAAGTGGAGCTACAGACAGATAGAAAGGTAAAGACTCTACATTCAGATAACGGTGGAGAGTACAAGAGTGATCCATTTATGTAGTTTTGTCAGGATTACAACATTAGAAGACACTTCACAGTTCGAGAGACACCACAACAGAATAAGGTGGCTGAAAGATTAAACCGTACCTTGCTGGAGAATGTGTGATGTATGATGACACAGAATGGATTGCCTAGATTCTTTTGGGCCGAGGCGTTGGTTTATGTGAGCCATCTCGTGAATATGTTACCGTGTACTGCGATAGACAGGAAGACTTTTTTGGAGCGTTGGTTTAGTTCGGTGGCTAGTGACTATGAGTCACTTCGGATATTTGAGTGTCCAGCTTATTACTATGTCAGCGATGATAAATTAAATTCGAGGGCGAGGAAAGCTGTCTTTGTGGGATTTAGAGATGGAGTTAAAGGCTTTAAGTTATGGGATCCACAAGACAAGAAGATAGTTATTAGCAGAGATATCACATTCGATGAGGTGTACATAATGAGGCCTTGAGTCCCTCAACAGGTGGAGGGAGACCAGACAGTTGAGATATCACAGCAGGTGAAGGATGATGTGACTCCACCCACTCCAGATAACATTGTATCCATTGAGGCTCCTAAAAGCAGTCTTTGTGGGATTTAGAGATGGAGTTAAAGGCTTTAAGTTATGGGATCCACAAGACAAGAAGATAGTTATTAGCAGAGATATCACATTCGATGAGGTGTACATAATGAGGCCTTGAGTCCCTCAACAGGTGGAGGGAGACCAGACAGTTGAGATATCACAGCAGGTGAAGGATGATGTGACTCCACCCACTCCAGATAACATTGTATCCATTGAGGCTCCTATAGAGGTGACACTGGGAGGAGATGAGATGACAGCCGGACAGATAAAGGATACAATAGATGGTGAGACTCAAGAGCAGGGTCACGTTTCAGGGGTCCATTGCAATAGATTGACCGAGGAGGGTGATTCTCGGCCAGCTAGGATTGCTGCATCCAATTGTCGGAGATTTGTGAGAGATCTAGAGCTTTATTTTAGGGTTTGATCGGTAAGATTTATAACCCTATTTGTATTCTCTTGATTTCTAATAGTAAGAACTCCCCCCCCCTCCTTGCCCCGTGGACGTAGGCAACTTGCCGAACTACGTTAAACTCGTTGTCTTGCTGTGGTATTGTGTTTGGCTTATTAGTTGTGATTTATCTCTTGTTCTTATTCGTGTCGCTTCGAGGCTTCCGCCGCGCACAATAGCAAGTTATAACAATGTCCACTTGTGGAGTAAAACCATAATGCAGCTTTGTATAAAAGATCTTGGACCGATTCTTCAATGTCCTAAATGAAGCTTCTATTTTGGACCTAAGAGAGGAATATCATAAATTAAATAATTCCCTTCTATTTTTCGTAGTGTTCCTAATATATTCTTTGAGATGATATCATACACCATGATGTAGAGAGATGAATCCTAGCATTGTAGTATATCCTGCATCACAAAAATAATATTTACCTACATTTGCTTAACATAATTAATTAGTAGTCATTCAATTATTAACTATCAAATTACTAATTAAGTTTAAATTACATTGCTCATGAACCCTCAAATCATGAGGTTATGATATGGATAACACATCTTGAAGGATCCTATAGTCATTTGCATATTCTTCTCATCCTACTGACACATAGGCGAACAATTTATTAGGGGTGCAGACTATAAGAAAATTTTATGACCTCTAGTACTACAAGTATAGATGGCAACCTTGCAGACTATAAGACCATCTCCAATGGCAAGGCAAATATTGCCTTTCTCTCTCCTTCCACCTCACTTTATTCTCTCTCCACATCACTTGCCTTTTCCAATTGCCTTTCAACTCCACAACAACTAGTTTTTCAAAAATTAACTCACTTTATCTTTCCTCCACATCACTCAACCATATACCCCACCATATTTATTCATCCTATTATTCTTATTTTTTATATATTTTAATCGTTATTATATTTACTAATATATTTATAATTATAAAATTTAATTTTTATTATGTAATAAATAATATGTATTTTTTAATAATTTATAATTTTCAAAAAACTTAATTTTTAATGCAATAATTAATATATTAATTTTATAAAAGAAAACAACACACACTATTATTAATGTAGTGGTAAACCAAACATACATAATTTATTGAAAACGTACAAGAAAAAACACACCAAACATACATAGTTTATTGAAACATGCAAGAAAAAACACACCAAACATTGAAAGTTTTTGACATTTCTATTCGAAGGTTGCTCCAAATTTTTGCCAAATGTGCTCGACGAGATCCTTTTTCAACTGAATGTGTTTGGCCCTATCACGTAGATCGGCTCTAGTATGAATATCCGATTCGGCTCGGGCTTGAACGTGCACTTCAAATTGTGGCAACACTTGTGTTTGGACATTGAAAGAGGAGCTAGAGCTAGCGCTAGCATTGTTCGATGGTTCGAAGTAAATATTTTCCCAGTTCCGCGAATATGTATCTCGTTCATCCTCGACTATCATGTTATGTAAAATAATGCAAGCCCTCATTATTTTACCTAAGACCTCAATGTCCCACATTCTAGCGGGCTGGCGAATAATAGCAAATCGTGCTTGGAGAACCCCAAATGCGCGTTCCACATCCTTCCTACATGATTCTTGTTGTTTGGCAAACAACTGCGCTTTGTTGCCTTGGGGCAATTGAATTGATTGGACAAAGACAGGCCATTTCGGATATATTCCATCTGCAAGATAGTAAGCACGATTGTATTGTCGCCCATTGACAATGAAATTCACCTCCGGGGCTTCACCGGACTCAATATCGTCAAATACCGGTGACCTATCTAGTACATTAATGTCGTTCAATGTACCTGGCAAACCAAAAAAAGCATGCCATATCCATAAATCAAAAGATGCCACTGCCTCAAGGATAACTATTGCCGTCCCCTTGTGTCCACTAGTAAATTGCCCTTGCCAAGCCTTAGGACAATTCTTCCATTGCCAGTGCATGCAGTCGATACTTCCAATCATTCCGGGGAAACCACGCTCCTGACCAACTTGGAGTAACCTCTGCACGTCTTCCACATTTGGACGTCTTAAGTATTCATCTTGAAACAAAGCAATTACCCCATCGCAAAAATTGCGAGTGCACTCAATTGTGGTGGATTCTCCAATCTTCACATACTCATCACATGCATCTGCGGCGACTCCGTATGCAAGCATGCGGATGGCAGCTGTACACTTTTGGATAGGTGACAAGCCCAATTTTTTTGAATTATCACGCCTTAGAGTGAAGTAGTTGTCATAATTTGATAATGCGTCTACAATTCGTAGAAACAATGACCTTTTCATTCGATATCTTCGGCGAAACTGCATGTCGGAGTAAGTGCATGACTCGTCGAAGTAGTCGGCCATGAGCCTTTGATGGGCTGCTCCATGATCCCTATGCAGATATTTTTTTTTTGTGTGGTCGTTCGTTTCTATGTTGTAACTCTTCAAGAAGTTGTTGTTGCCTATCGAGTATGGAATTTTCCAACTCCCATTGTCGTTGGACCTCTTCAAGGTTAACCATATTTGGGGGTAGATCCATTGGATGATAATTAGAGGAAAGTATGAAGTAAAATGCTTTGGTTGATATTCATATGATGTGCACTACCAGATTTATAGTGAATGAGCTCCGGATTCCATTCAATTTAGTTAACTAAATTGAATATGAAGATAAGATATTGAGTAGTCATAGTCTTGTCTGAGCTAGTGGGTTGATTATTGATTTTGGAGTGTAATGCAGTGAGTAGTCATAGTCTTGTCTGAGCTAGTGAGTTGATTATTGATTTTGGAGTTTAATGCAGTGAGTAGTCATATCCATGTCCTTATATTCGTCAGAATGTGTAGTCACACAATATTCAAACAACACTATTATTCAAACAAAACATCGTAATTCAAACAACACTCTTATTCAAACAACATGCTTACTAAAGAACATACATCACGACAATAAAACACACATTATTATGAAGAACACGCAATTCGATAATAATACACGGAATATGCAAACTAGTTCCCAAACAATTCCTTCTTCAACATACTATACGCCGCTTCATCTTCATCATCTCGGGCCTCTTTGTTCTTCAAGCTCAACCACATCTCTAACTTCTTATTACGATTGTACTCCTGGATAGCTGAGACTTGAGTCGCCCTGTATTGTTCATTAGCGTCACGACGAGATGCTAAATCGGACAACTCTTCCTGAATGGTAACCTTTGATTTTCTTGAAGTTGATGATTTACTAGATGAAGCTCTAGCTTTCTTCTTTGTTGCATCCCTACCTTCCGGACGTACAAGGGAATGAATAGCAGAATCAACGTCATCGCTACCACTCTTTCTCTTAGATCCACTACTTCCAGATTCAGTTGCTCCTGTGATATATTTGGGTTGGTGACGAACCAACTTCCACTCATCCAACAATTAAAACTTTGTACCTTGGTTTTCACTGTACAACTCTAGACCTTTGGATATGTAGTCATTGTCTGACCAACCACTACGTCTCTCCCTAGTAGCAGCACTATAACAACCAACAAAGTTACTAATCTTCTTGTTGAGGTCACGAAAATGACTTTGACATTTTACAATGTTCCTCTGTATCCCACGATCGGAGTTCTCATTCACGTAATCAGAGATTTTGCCCCAAAAAGTATCACCCTTTTGATTTGAACCCAATTCACTGTCAGTACTGTAGTGGAAATAACCAGTTAATAACAACTTGTTCTCTTCAAAAGTCCAACTGGCGTAATTTCCTTTCTTCGCTGATTGTTGGGTTGGAGCTTCAAAACTGTGGGGAGTATCCCCACCAAGTTCTCCCAGAGAGATTTGTGTAGAAAATTGTGGGATATCAGTGGATCCACTACTAAAGCGAGGTGTGTTTGGCTCACTAGTCGGTTCAATGTTTGGAAAATTGACATGAGATGGAAGAGAGCTGTTTCCAGGAACTGGTTGATAGCCATATGGCATATAAGGATGATTATACGGGTATTGCATTCCATAAATTGGTGGCATCATATTAGGATTTTGATAGCCATATGGCATGTAAGGATGATTTTCAGGCCGTTGTGTATTTGGATTTTGAGGTTGCATATTCGGATTTTGAGATTGGTTTGGATAGTTGTAATTTGGGAGAAAGTTTAAGTTAACTGAAGGATCCATGAAGGATGTTGAAGATGGAAGAAGAAGAAAAAAATGAGAGGGTGAGAATGTGGAAGTTGGTAATATAAGGAATGAAGTGAGTAAAAACTTGATTTTTTTTTGTGTCCAAATAACATAAACTCAAGCTCTATTTATAGACCTTGAAAAATAAAAAATAAGGATGAAAAAAAATAATTAATTTAGAGCAATTATTGATATAAAAAAGTCATTTAAATAATGGAAGAAAGAAAAACAAAAGAAAAACAAAAAAAAACAAAAGACATTCTCTTTTGTGAACATGGACACGCGCCTGTGTCCCTCTCACTGTCCTAGCTTCGCTGACGTGGCGCAAGGAGATTGGTTAATGCATTTTTTTGAGAGCTGTTTCCAGGAACTGGTTGATAGCCATATGGCATATAAGGATGATTATACGGGTATTGCATTCCATAAATTGGTGGCATCATATTAGGATTTTGATAGCCATATGGCATGTAAGGATGATTTTCAGGCCGTTGTGTATTTGGATTTTGAGGTTGCATATTCGGATTTTGAGATTGGTTTGGATAGTTGTAATTTGGGAGAAAGTTTAAGTTAACTGAAGGATCCATGAAGGATGTTGAAGATGGAAGAAGAAGAAAAAAATGAGAGGGTGAGAATGTGGAAGTTGGAAATATAAGGAATGAAGTGAGTAAAAACTTGATTTTTTTTTTTGTGTCCAAATAACATAAACTCAAGCTCTATTTATAGACCTTGAAAAATAAAAAATAAGGGTGAAAAAAAATAATTAATTTAGAGCAATTATTGATATAAAAAAAGTCATTTAAATAATGGAAGAAAGAAAAACAAAAGAAAAACAAAAAAAACAAAAGAGATTCTCTTTTGTGATGGACACGCGCCTGTGTCCATCTCAATGTCCCAGCTTCGCTGACGTGGCGCAAGGAGATTGGTTAATGCATTTTTTTTGTTTTTTTTAATGGAAGCTGCTGACAACCCGTACCATTGGAGAAAATTAACCGGTAGGCAAATTTTGCCTTTTCTCTCTCCACCTTTTCATTTGCCTACCCAATTGTTAGCCATTGCACCCAATAACATACCCAATTGTTAGCCATTGGAGATGGTCTAAGAAAAATTTACGACCTCCAGTACTACTAGTATAGATGGCAACCTTGCATCGACATGTGTTCAACCGATCATACAAACGCAATCCTATATAATAATAAAAAATGCCATCATATTACATCCTAAGCATTGAGGACTACTTTATTAATATTTATTTAAGAATGGATAGATTACCTTGAAATAAGTGTAATATGAAGGGTTGTTGGCAATCTCAAAAGGTATGTCAATTAGTGCTTGCCTCGTGTAACGAGGACATAACTAACAAATGGCTTCTAACACATTATGTATCTACTTACTGTTTTCCTTGACAAAATGAAGTTCAATCTTATATTTCTGTTTTTCATTTTATGACCCATTATGTTAAAAAACATAGCAAGTTCTTCTTTCACTTCTTGGTTTCAGGTATATCTAATTAGACGTTTCCTCATCATCAACATTGATAGCTTAAACAAAGTGTCTTAACGCATTCTTACGTAATCTAGACAACTATCACTAAAACCATTCATCTATCTATCCATATGATAACTTCTCATTTCATTTCTCATAACCCTATGTATTGAATTTGATACTCTAGTTTTATGAGTGACAGCCCTCCATCTAGAGATCATCCTCATAGTCCTCCATCTAGATATCATCTCTGGGCCATGCTAACAATTGGTATCAAAACAGTCATTACATCCCCAAACATTATCCTCATAACCATTCCTTCCTCCACATTATCCATATACAAGACCCAAATGACATTAACATACTATAATTTGTTCATAAATAGGAAGGTACATAATCATATAATACCAAAGATAATGAGCATGCAAGTAATATCTATACATGTTTTAATACCTATTACAAGAAATCGAAACTGAAAATACTAACATTAAACAAAGATATGACTTATAAAGTAGTAAAATTTTGTTTTTTATTTTTTGCATGCATCAAATTAACACAATCTAACAATTATTAAAAATTAAAGAAAATTATTAATTAATTACTAAAACTATGATTGTCTCTTGCATGCACAAGCATTGAGAACTACCAGAACTTGTGATTTTTTTTGCTTGAATGGAAGTAGGATGTAAATAAACAAAAACTATCAGCTCTCAATATCAATTAATAACAATATTTCCATATGCACATTAGATAGCCCCCCATATAGAATCTGAATATATAACATCTTTAAAAGTTTGTAACGTCCTATTTTTAATTTTATATTTCTCTTGTTTTCCTCAAGATACCTTTTACTATTGGAACTTGAAAGTAGAGAAGAGCGAAGTATTTCTTTGAGGAGGGCTCTGGTAATGGGTAAGAAGTTTGATATTTCCTTTTCTTTTGTTGTATATTCTCAAGGAGATTACTCACCATTTATAGGGGCTAAACCCACTATCTCAACAAACCCCTCAGATCTTCCCCTTGAGAGATATTCTCTCAACAAACCCACGTTCAAAATTTTCACAATTTTTTCTACTGAGAAAAGTTGATTTGGTCATATTTGACTGAGTCAAGCTAACATCTCCCACTTGACCAAATTAACCAAATGACATGCCTCCCACTATCCGTGAGATCAGATGTTTCTTCTTATCATTATTCTCACTATCCGTAGAGAGTGACTCTTATTTCATTATTCCTGAAATTTTATTCGGACTTATTTATTCCTAAGTCCCATCAAACTTACATGTTTGACAAAAAATTTCGCTGCTATTCCTTTTGTCAAAGGATCAACAACCATATATGTAGTAGGGATATAAGTCACTTTGACTTCTCCCTTTTCTACAATATCTCGAATATAGTGATACTGGATCTCAATATGTTTTTTTGGAGCTATTCGTGCCACTATTAATTAAGCTAATTACTGCTTAATTATCACAATAAATATCAATAGGTCCTTCTAACAAATTGAGATCAAGATCAATCAAAAATTAACTTATCCAGACAGCATATGTAGTTGCCATACTGCAAGCTATATATTCAGCCTTTTACGTATATCTAGCAACACACCCTTATTTCTTGCTACTACAAGAAACATCTCCTCCTCTAAAGATGAATAAGTGTCCCAAAATGGACTTTTCATCATCTTTATCATCTCCGAAATCAGCATCAGAATAACCGAAGAGTTCAAGTGAATCAGGTTGATAAACTAATCTATGAGTCAATGTACCTTTGATATACTTCATAATACTTTTAGCAACTTCCCAATATGCTGGTCCTAGATTACTTTGATATCGACTGACTAGACTCACAACATAAGCTATATCAGGCCTGGTGCACAATATTACATACATCTGTTAGCCTTCTTGTTTTGATGATGATTTACAAATAATTTACATTAAATATTATTTGTCTAGTATTTGTGTTTTATATTTATTCTAGGCAAACAATATGTTGGAGGTTGGATGGAATTGCGCCTCAACGATGATATCAAAAAGAGGTTGGCGGATATTGATATGAAGCTATGCACAATTCAAGTCAAGTTCTAGATCAAACTTCATCCTACCAAGACGAGCCTATATGAAGATCACAAGCTTGAGTATATAGTTTATAGTGTTTGTAGTATAGGTTTATACTTGTGTGTTTAATACTCTAAGCTCAATTATACACACACACACACATATTTCTAGTTTTTTATTAAAATATAAGTGTTTTTAATAATATATGGCTTTATTGGTTTATGAACGTAACGTTCATTAATTATATACATCCTTCATTAAGTCTATAAAATTATTTTATATGTTTTCAAGACATGTATATGTATTTGTGAGTTTTTGTAAAATGATGAGATTTCACAAATGATGAATGATATTTGAAAAATTCCTTTTTCAACATGTTCAATATCATATTTATAAACTTTCCCCAAAGTCTTATATTTTTTGGAATTTATTTGATAATTTTAAAGTAGGTTTAAAGTTGAGATTTACTGTGTATTTCATGTTCATGCATGTTTTTCATAAAATGATGATTTTTCATTTTGGTAAGTGTAAATTGAAAAATCCTTTTTATAACATGTTCACTTACATGTTTATAAAGTTTTTACAAAGTTTCATGATTTTTTGAGTTGATTTACTATGTTAAATTAATTTTACAAAATCGTGTGTCTCAGCAGTTTTCATAATCTGGAATATCTGTGTTAAAATATTTATTTCTCACAAATGGAAAGTGATATTTCCGAAATTATTTCTCTAACATGTTCATCTACATGTTTAGAAATGTTTATAAAAAGATCATACTTTTTAGAGTTGATTTACTATTTTTATTTAATTTTATAAAGATAGCTACATAAAATTCCCGAACTGCCAGAATCTGTCATGCATGTCATAAGTCGACTCATGAACAGTGCAAGTCGACTTGCTATAGTGTAAGTTGACTCATGAACAATGTAAGTCAACTTAGCAGATGTTTTTCAGCTTGTAACAGCTAGTTTATGAGTCGACTCATGAACAGTACCGAGTCGACTCATAACACTGTAACAACTAGTTTTTGGCTGAGTTGTTTTTTAGTTTTTTGGACTTTTCACTTGGGTTTTCTTGGTTATTTGGGGCTCCTATATATTGTTAGACCCTAGGAGGGGGGGGGGGGGTGTAAGAATGCTAATCTAATCCGATTAAATGCCAATTAAAACTAATTCACAAGTTATCCTAGTAAGTATGAAATGCAATAATATATATGAGCTAGGATAAACAATATACAATATGATATATCCTAGCAAAGAGACATATAGCAAAATATATATGCAAGGATATATAAACTAACACAAGGGTAAACAATATAAACTAGATAGTGGATCATAAAAAGGATGAGTAATGCACAATTGGCGATATAAGATAAATGCAAAAACAACTACG